AACATTTATATAACATATTAACACTTTACACTATTGGTGACAACTTTTATGGAATCCATTGCAAGTTGCATTTTACCCAGCTTACTCTTCTGTCTTAGCTTCTAACTACTTCACAATTGATGGAGGCTTCAGAAAAACCATGATGCTGTTCTGCTTCCTTCTTTGCCCTCTACTAAGTAGAAAGATGCATATATGCTTTTGCAAGTTTAGTGTTAGGTCAGCATGTCGTGTTAATTCTACGCTGATTTTTACAAGAGAACCTGAAAAGAGTGTATTATATAAGATATCAGTTACAAGGAACAAACCCCAAGATTAACCTGAATTAGAAGGAACGTTTTTTGTGATTATATTAGAAGTTAAAAACCAGGGCCTTCCTACATTGGACAGAAATTCAGAAATAGAGAAGAAACACATATATTTTTAAAACCTGGTTAAGTACATTCAGTAGTTATCTCAAAACCAGGCAGATGACAAACTTCAGTAGTGAAACGGGGAGAAATTGCTGGGAAAGTAAACTAACTTGTAAATTTGGTGTTTAAATTCCTCTTCTGTAACGTAAAAAGCCACACCTTTGCCCCTTCATTTTCTCTCTTGAGTTTCTTTGTCAAAAGCTGTTGCTTACCTTTTTAGGAAATGAATGTTCCATAGAGCAGATGGAGCATGTGCGGAGTATGCAGGAGAAACTTGCTCGCCTCAACCTGGAGCTCTATGGGGAGCTGGAAGAACTCCCTGAAGATAAAAGAAAACTAGCCAGTGACTCCAACCTGGATAGGCTGCTGTCAGATGTAAGTACCGGGAAGGCAGAAAACATGGAACTTCGCCCACAGCACTTGGCTCAGGGAAGAAACACTATTGGGTGGGCAGTGATGTGCAGCTGAAGAGGGCATAGTTCTGTAATGAACCAAGGTGAAAGTCCTGCCCTCATCTTAGTTTTGAGAAAACATAGCACCTTGTTCTTTTTTCATAGGCTGCTGCTTGTTTCAGTGAGTGGAGCAGTGTAGCTGTAAACTGAGGTTGCAGGCCTGTTTAGAGACAGCCCATGTACCTGGGAATTACAACTATTTTCCCTGTGGCCCATCATCCTAATTCTGGGGAAGACCACACATAGCAAGAATTGTCCACTTTTCCTTTCTCTAGAGTGTTTACATAAAGCTGTTAAAATTTATTTAAATTTCCTGAGATCAGCAGATTGAAATCTAATTTGGGACTTGGCTCTGTTGGTGTAGAAGTCAGTGTAGGTTTGCATAGCTTTTTGTAATAAAATTACACATTTCAGCCCAAACTATTAGTGATTTTCTTCACTGTTTTAATGTATATATTTCACCATATCAGCATTTGACTAACCGAAATGCCATTACTGATAATTTCTGTATTTATATTGCAGCTAGAAGAACTGAATTCATCTATGTATCCTTTTCCTTAAATGTCTGTAAAAATATTATAATTATTGTTTACTATAATTGAATCACAGTGTATTTGTTTCCCCTGTAACTGGTATCTCTACAGGAATTGAACCACTTCAATAACATCCTTTAAGCTGATACTTTAATACCTCACGGATTTTAGGTTCTACATAAATAACTGGATCTTAACACTTTTAATTACAGGCTGTTTTTTCATATGGTGGTTTACTTTAGCTAGTGTGTACCACTTCAGACAATGTGTTGACAGTCAGTGGAGGAATCTGTCAGAAGCATGGTCTTTTTATGTGGGTCTAGCCGAGACATTCTGGAACAAACATACACAGTCATCTTCCCTCTATAGTACTCAGAAGCGTTCTGAATCCTATTACCTTTTATTATTTTTCTGGAAGTATGTGTAGCTGTTTATCACAGATTTTACTGTGAATAGTGGACTGACCTAATTAATTATTTCTAAGGTCAGACTATGGTTGAGTCAAATACTTCAGCAGAGCTTTGGTAATTGAACAAGCCCACCCAGAAGAACATAAAGCTGAATGCTCTTAGCTTTACATGTTCTTTTACATCATGTTCTTGATAAGCTAAGAACAGAGCTGAGGAGTGTTGCATTCAGTTTATACTGTGGTCTGGTTATTTCTGATGTTTACACACTTCATATGCATTGAGGAAGGTGGGACTGAAGATGCTACTCTGGTATATACATTCTCTGTCTGTGGAAAGTTGTTTTAAGGCTAAAAGCCTCATAAAGAATACAACTGGAATGAGATGATAGTATCACATAATAGTGATAAAAATAATCTGTCATCCCCCTTGATCTGCCAACTAATTCTGGACGTATGTAATGCTTACATCTCATTGAAAAAGATTAACCTCCTGGCTGAGAACTAGCATAGGGCACAGTGGAACTGAAGTCATTGGACTGATGCATACCTGTCACAGGTCTGAGCACAGTTTTGGGTAACATTGCTGTCTTGGTTTTGTACCTTATCTATACGTGAAGTTTTTATTCCTTAATGTCTGGTTCAGCCAAAAACTCCATTTAGCAGATGCTCAGGATATTCCAAATGGTGCCACAGGCTGAAAGAACAGCTTTGTCAGAAGCTTTTGTTTTGTTTGATGGGTTCCCCCCAGCCAGACAGTGGCATCTGGAACATTTGTGGGTTTGCTGTGCTTGGTTTTCTTTTTAATTTTACACAACGAAGAATCAAAGTGCAAATCCAGGTGTTTCTTTTTGCACATTCCCCTTTGAGCACTGCATTATGCCAGTACTCGGTATCTAGAGTTTTAAACAAATCGTTGTGATGCTATGCTTTTTATTATTGCTTTATTTAATAGAAAAACTGGGCAAATGTGGAAGTACATTTCTTCTGCTCAGTGTTGTTCATATGGTTGACAATGATATATGTATATAAGTTCATTAGCATCTCCAGTTTTTATCAAGGTAACAATGCCTTTCTGATCAGTATGTAGACAAGTCTGCACACTTTATCTTTAGTGTTGTGTTGATCAGTGATGGCACAGATTAATTTATTCTTAATAAAGAAAAATATTTTAAATATACAATGTTTCATTTAGAGAAGCTGCTATCTGTTTGGCTGTGTTAAGAAGATCTGAGTTCTTATATGGTCTGAATGGTTGCAGAGTTTACTGTATTTTCCATTACTGTGAATAATTATAGAATGTCACTAGATTACAACTAGCATACATGCTAGTTTGAGGAAGTATTGTAAAATTCCCAAAGTGGGTAAACAGTAAATAAATCCAGTATAAGCAATTTTGTAGTCATTTCTGTGTTGTAAGTAGCCTGGTATTAGTATCCTCATTGCTTTCACAGTCAGAGGAAAAAGAATCTTGTAGTAGTGTAAAATCAGGCTGGTTTTAGATCCAACATTTCTGTCATCTCAGTCCATCAAACTATGCCTTTGGTTCTAGACTTATTTTGTATGAAGGCCTGCTGGCCTAATTCTGTTAGTGTCTGGCAGGTTGAGTTCTACAACTGCATTAACACAAAGGTACAAGGAACAAAAGCACGAGAGCACAGGTTAAAAAATAGCCTGGTTAAATTTGGATCATGATCTGTAAATTTAGTTCAGTCAGAACTAAAGACTATTTATTATGGAATTCAGTGGCATGTTAGAGCCTTATAAATAACCTGCAACATATTGAGGCTTCACAACTCCATCACATTCTCCGTGTTCTGTGTTGGGTATTGATTGTTAATGCCTATTCCGTATCCCTACTGATCCCAGTTTGGCGGTTATGTTCTGGTTCCAAGTGTTTCACCTTTAACACAGTATATAAAGGGAGTCAGAGGCAGCAGCCTGTGCTGCTTTGCAGTTTTCATCTGCTTTGACTCTTGAAACATTGTATTTTTCTTTTAGTTCTATTCACTACAGAAACTTAACAATGCCCTCTTGCTCTCCTCGCCTTCCCGAAGCAGAGAATCGAGCACATCCACTCTTTGTATTTCTTCAAACACGGGTTCATGATTTTTGCAGTTCTGCTCTAGCCTTTCCCACAAAAAAATGAAGGGAATGACACATTTGCCATAAAAGGCGGTAACGCCCAACGCTTGCCCTAGGACAGGAGCAGACATGAGAACGCTTTTTCCACATGAAGTGTCAAGTTTCTGATAAGAAACCAAACCTCCTGTTTTAAAGTGGATCATTTCCTCAACTATTCCCTCCTGTGCCCACTACGGCTATTGCTTCGAGGGTAGTTTGTTTCTAAACTAGAGCTCATCTGTCGGAGGGCCCCTGAGCACAGAGGATGTGTATCAAATTCAGCCACCAGGCAGGGCTTACTGTGTGTTCCTTGAAAATGCACTCACATTTTATCACTCCTCATGCAATCAAATCCAGCACTTCATGTCAGGAGTCACATACAGGAATTGGTTCTGTCCATATGCAAACGCTGAGTTCAGAGACTGTTTGGGATTACTAACACAGACCATGCTTTAGCCAGCAGTAGTGGAAATTCATTCCTTTTTAATTATAAATAATTAAATTCACTGTCAGTGATGTATGCTTGTGCATCTCACTGTCATCATCGCAAGACATGGGCTTCATCACAGCCCTCTTCACTTACTGTAAAAAATAGCTACAACATGAATGAGTACACACCAAATCCACAACTGGCTGCCCAAAGCACCAACCAGCATAAAGCAGTTGATAGTGGGAACCTGACGTCGGAGCAGGCCATACGTGTGCCAGATCCCTGCCTTCCCAGACATGGCTGAGAACGTGCCTGCTGACGGGAGGTTGTGAACAAGACTGAGCAACAGCTTTAGGTTGGAACAGGCTTTAGGTGAGGGGTTAATTGAACTTGGACAGACAAAATTGATGCAAGTAAAACAGTACTTCTTAGTACCTCGAGGAAACAATAGCTTAGTTACTCCAGTATCTGTTCTCATACTTAACAACTCTTGTGCTATGTGTATTTACATGTTCAGTTACGTGACTGTCCCTAGTGCTGATGCCAAGACATTCCTCCTCTTCTCCCTAGACTGGAACCCATATTAGCAGTGTGTCATGTGATGAGTAGCTGCTGAACACAGAAGGTACTTGCAGAGACTACCTGCTGTTGCTTACAGAGTCTTTTTTTCTCATCAGAAAGTCAGTCTATAGAAGACTGATCAAGTATAAAGATCAACCCTCCAGACAGAGTAGCACCAGAGCTTATATTGCCAAGCTGGGAGACAAGAAAAGAGCAAAGGATTCTTAACTGTCCATTCTCACCATTTCTCTGTACAAAAGGCCAAAAGTACAACTTAGTCTAAATTCCTGTGCAAACACAGATTTTTCCCTTTACAACTACCAACATGATTAAACATTCAAAAAGGCATGTGTGTGCTCCCCGGTGAATGGCACGCTCCAGGCGTATCCTTTGATTGACGGTCTGGTTCTCAGACTAAGCGCATGATGTCTGGATCCTGAAGAACAATAGAAATGAAAGCTGCAGCCAAGGAAATCAGTTTTAAATTAACACTTCTCCTAATGACCCTTCTCAGCTAGGTTCTGAAAAACTGACACATTTTGCGTAACGCTTACTAAGGAATGGAGGCCAACCACTTTTAATACAATAAATACTAATTTCTTGTTATAACAGTGTACTTTATGAGTTCTTTAAGCAGGTCTAAGATTCTGGAGTAACTGCAGATCCCTGTAATGCTAGTTGGCTCTCTAAAGAGTCAGTTTAGTTTCGATAATTTTTAGCTTGAATTTTAATTTTGACCCAAACCAAAGTTTATAAAACAGTTGTTGCACTGTCCATTTTTGACTAGTTTTCAACGTCCCAAAATTGTCTATTAACAAGGAAAATTTTTTGAAAAAAATAATGTTATTAGCTTAGCTCTTACTTACAACTTACCTCATTTCCTTTCAGGTTTGACTAGGAATCTGCAAGTTGTTAAAACCTCATCAACCACTTTGAACACATGCAAATATATAAAGTGGATGAGTATAGCTCAGTTTTGTGAACTCAACATAAACACCATGTAGGAGTCACTACCTATGTAGAGTACTGGGATAAAGACTGCGTGTTTAATCCAACCAAGCATTACACTGACTTATTCATGGATAAAGTGGTCACCTTATTGTTGGCTAATAAAGGCAATTAGTATCTGCTTTTTCCCCCACTACAGTTATATCCACAGAGCTCCCTGTGCAGCGTGTGACCTGGCCCATGCCTTCAGGCGTTCTGCTCTCCTGTCAGTGTAGCGCGTACCCAGAGGCTAGCTGGTTAACCCACTTACCTGCCAGTTCTTGGGGTGCAGCTCCAGTGTCTGGTTTAGGTCAAATGAGCATTTCATGGCTCACTGTGCCTTCTTAAAGGACACTCACCTCTGTCAGAAAGACACCACCCAGACTGGAACTCTTGTAAGCAAAGAAGGCACGAAGTTACATGAGCTAAGTTTGCTTCTCGTAGTCTGTCCTGCAGGGTGAATTCAGACACCTATGGTTGGGGATGCAAAGCCTTTAAAAGCGTTTTCTCAGGAGTCTGTTACTACAGTTAAGTGTGACTGCATTCTTAATATTTGCTTTAAAAGCTTTTGCCAGAATCATTATAGTGAGAATCATTTTAACACATACAGATTTAAGACTTCTGCCAGTCAAAAAGTTGACACAAACTATAGTAGCTAGAACAATGGAAAATTTTAAAAGCCTAACACAAGCAATGTATTTCCTACTCAAATGCAAAAAGGTTTCTATTTAATTCTTAAACGTATCACAGAAAATAAGGTATCTCTGAATCACAGGACTAACCACAGGGCAATAACGTGTAAATCATGAGGTACAGCCTGGAAGCAGTGAAATTATTTCACGCTGTTTTTTGTATATTTTAAAGCTACAGCTTACTACATAAATGCTAGGAGATGAAAACAACCAGGAAAATAGACACAGAAATGCACATACCAGTAGTTCTGTAGCAAGTGCTGCTTTTTGCTACGCAGGTGCCTAAAGAACATTTTTATTTTGGAATTTGTAAGCAGTATTCAGAGCTGAATGCCTCAAGGAATACATAGTTTTGATTTATGTACTTTTAACAACAAATAATGCTTGCCATGAATTCAACGCTTTGTCGTTCTTGTCCGCTGGACAAAGGGAAAAACATCCATAGGTGTATAGAGCAGAGGAAAAAAAGATTCATTTTGTTGTTTAAACCATCATCAGAAGAAAGTGAAGCTTGAGCTGGGGCAGTGCACTTAACCATTAGTCGCCAACACTACAGAAATACAACACTATTAAGTTAACAGCACCGAACTTTTGTTCAGCCTGAGTGAGAAGTCCCTGCTCCATACGAATACAGCTTCCTTCCAACACCACTGACTCCATGTTTTCACTACAACTTCTGATCTATCCTAGAACAAAATCTCAAATGTTTTAATAAGGTTTCACTGATGGCCAGGGCTGCTGATACAGTTTTAAACTCACGTTGAAGTTGTTGATTTGACAGGTTGCTCTGTGTTTACTTAGTAAAGAACACAAGTGTTTTCCGGGATCTTTGCATTAAATTCATAATCATATCTGAGTAACTGCAGGAGAACTTAAATTATAAGGCCATCACCCTTCTATTTTATAA